GGCTCAAAAAATATAAAACACAGGAGAGTTTTCAACATAAAACCCAGGAATGCTTAGCTCAGCATTATATAATTGAACAGTATTTTGTGCAAGTGCATCACACTTCATATGGCAGAAGCGGGTTAGCGTGGCTTGACTTTGTGTTCTGGCGATTTGGAGCCTTACTCTGAGGGTGTGGGTTCGAATCCCAAATGGGACTCAACCCAAAAAGTACTAGAATTTGTACTTTACTAAGAAAGTGTAATCCCAAATATAAAATCTGTTACAACTTACTACAAAGTTTGGAATTGTTTGTTTGATAATCTGAGTCATCTGGAAATATAAATTCATAATACATCATCATGTAAAGCTTCAAACTGGTTTTTTCCAACAACGAGGGTTGAAAGCAAACTATATTGACTCCCTTTGATCAAATTTGACTCATTGTATCAAGTTATGACGAGTCATTTTGACTCATGGTCATGAAGAGCAAAATGAATCACTGAAAGTGTTAATGTCCCAGATACTAAGACAGCTGGATTCATGTTCAAGATGTTTTGCATCTATAGAGATGTTTGTATACCCTGTACAAATTGATTTGGCTGATCCAAAAGTGTTAATGTCCTAGATACTAAAACAGCTGGATTGATGTTCAAGATGTTTTTCATCTATAGAGATGTTTGTATAACCCTGTACAAATTGATCTTGCTAACTAAAAAGTGTTAATGTCCTAGATAATAAGACAGCTGGATTCATGTTCAAGATGTTTTGCATCTATAGACATGTTTATATACCCCTGTAGAAATTGATTTGGCTAATCCAAAGTGTTAATGTCCTAGATACAGCACATAACAGCACGTACAAATTTGCTACTGCTTTCTCCGGCACCTTAAGTGATTGATATTATCACTACTATACCTCACTATCGATGGGAAGCTGCCAACAATCGCTGACATGGCCTCCAGAAGCTCTGCAAGGCGAGGTAGAACTGATGCTGCAAGCTCAAGTGCGCCTTCCTCAACCAACAAAGGGATTGACACGCACCGCCATGTTGGGGATGAGGATAGGAAAACACGTAGGACCAGGAAATCTCCATACCTGACTACAGCTGTGTTACGGCAGAGATTACAAGCTATTGGGGCATTGTGCCTTCGACATGGGGGAAGAAGACTGTGTTGCAACTGTATAAAGAGAACTGTGCGATCAGCACGGATGAAGAGGCGGTTCCAGTGACCCTCCCCCGTAACAGCGGCTCAAGTCTGACATCGGCCATTCCGTCTTCGCAGCACACACCCTCGCACACTGGAATTTCCGGGAGCACAGAGGAGACATCCGTTACCAGGGCAACACCACCCACTTCTTCAGCTGACATGATTGGTGTAATGAGGAAAATGAAGGATCTCATTTCTTTCTTCTCACAGCAATTAAATTCAAGGGGTAGGTCAAACGATGATAACATATCACCACCTTCAGTGCAGTTCCTGTCGTCTGATACCATTCCCTATGTAAATTTCGTTGACAAACATACAACAAGAAAAATACATCAGGGGAAATATGTTAACCTAGCATCACTGCTGCTGCCTACACAAGAAGCTGGTGACTACAGAGTGTCAGACAAATCAGGAGGGTGTAGGAATGTCAAGGCAGATCCTCAGCAGAAACTTAAACTTTGCTGAATTTACTAGATCCTTCAAAATATACAAAGACATTTTCTGCGAAGCGTGGCCAAACAGAAGAACCCAACTGGACCGACATGAACATACTGTTGGAGAACTACACAACCTGTATGGTGGTTTCGTCCATTACGATTACCACAAACGCTTTGCTGCTCGTGTCGTGGCACTAGCTGAGAGGGGGATACATCTCGACTGGGGAATCCCCGATACCAGGATCTGCACGACCTGTACATCTGGACTACGCTGTAGGTCTTGTGTACTATGTGACAGCATTAGCCACGACACAGCTACATGCTTGTCAGTGCTGGTGCAAGAGAGTGACTGCCTTCTTTGGATTCCTCAGGTGTGCTGAATTTACATGTTCATGTGAATTCCAAGCAAGTACCAGCTTAACTGTGTCTGATGTGACAATGGATCATATCCAAAGGAATTCTACTCTGACACTAAAAGCCTCTAAGACTGACATCTTCAGACAGGGTGTCGCCATATCCCTGTTCACTAACTACACTGCCATCTGTCCGTGTGATAACCGATATCATGATATTGCAGGCCTACCAAAGAAAACTTTCCCACTGTGCAGAAAAATGCAGAAAAGCCCACATTAATCATGGAAATAGCAACATAAACACATTTATCATACAATGGATAGTGTTCTCGGCAGGATAAAGCCAACGGATATTTTCGATATCCGTTGGGGTCATATACGGATATCGATGCAAATTAGAGAGGTCATATGCAAAATTTAGGGACTACTTTCACAGTGTAAACAAACATGGCATCAATGGTCAGCGGTCGTGTCCGGATTGACGTCCGTGGTTACGGTACTGTCAGTGCTCGGATCCCAGAAAATTCATGTCTGGTTATGATAGATGGAGTAGATTACAAAGTGAAGTTAGAAATTCATAGGTTTACGAAGATACCAACATCGACCGCCTGTCAGTGTTAGCGAGAGAACGGCACTAGGAATCCAGATGCACAATGTCACGAGAACATTAAAGTGTATTTGTTGTTCAAAAGGTTTCTGAGGTTCCACGCGAGTTTGTTGTTATTTTTCAAACGTAAGCTAAGTTTTGTTGACAACAATACGTACTTTAACATAACAACTGACAGGAACTAGATGACGTAACGCAGTCAAATGAGTGATCAGTAGAAAATTACTGCGCATCCGCATTACAATCTGCGCTTCTTTCCAATTTCCGAGCAACTGTGAATCACCTCGCGTAGAAAAAGTATTAAATATGTCGAAATGGACACTGTCAATCGTTTCATACGAATGGAAAGTAAACTAAACAAGTGTGCACACAAGTATCATGATGATAAATGTTAAATAACAGTACAGAAATACTTAAAAAGGAATGTAATTTTGTCCAAGCTGGAGAATGTCAGCATGCGGTCGAGACTTCCTCTTTCATTTGCGTAAGCGCAAAATTGAAGTTGCGGGCTCCTCGTTTTATGATGCAGTGTTAGCGATTTAAAGTTGCCGTTTTTACTGTTTCAGTAGCGAGGTATTATGTTTATGTTGCTATATCCACGATTAATGTGGGCTTTTCTGCGTTTTTCTGCACAGTGGGAAAGTTTTCTTCGGTAGGCCTGTATTGGAAGGACAAGACAGTGCTGATCTAAAGAAAATTATCATGAAACTGCAGGTTCAGTTTGGACACTCAACAACAGAGAGACTTTCCAAGCTTATGAAAGATGAAGTCCAAATGAAGTCAACTACCACAAAATCAGTCACAGAAAAGAGACTGAGAATGGACATTGCTGCTTTGAAAGAAATTGTGGAAACTGGCTCAGAAGAAGTGAAATGGCCAGACACAAACAATCAACTAGCAGATGTCTTGACAAAACGAGGAGCCTCCCCATGTAGATTTATCTACCATCACTTGGGTTCAAACATCTCAACGTTAATCACTCAGATTATTTTGTGGACCCAACCACAGGGGCGTGCACCAATCTTATAGAAAATAGGTGGTGGCAGATAAAGAGACGTCTGCCCTCCACTCATACAAGAAAGGGAAACTTTGCCACAATCCTTACAGAATATATTCAGTGCTGCAAACAGGGAGGACCCATGATTTTCTCAAATATTTTGGAGGATATTAGTGTTGTTTATCCTGTGACCGATTTGTGACTTTTATAGTAAGTGGTTGAATATTTCACATTAATAAGAAATGAGTTTGAGAAGTAATTAATGTTTAGTTATTGTACATGATAAGTGATGTAGGGAATTGTTTGTTGTTAACAGATTCAGTTGACAGTTTTAATTCAAATTTTATTAAGAGGAACAGAGATTAACAAGAGTCGTATTAACAAGACAACTCAGAGCTATCATATTGCTAAATGTTGTCCAAATTGTTGTTATTCGTTTTTTTATTGGGCATCTTTTCGGAAAGTGTCAGCGAAGAAAATACAGCCTGATATCTGAACGACATAAGTGTATATGAATTGGATTTATGTGTTTATGCATAACATTATGCACTCAACATTAAAAATGACTCGCAATAAATGTCAAAAATGGATTTTCTTCCACGACGTCAAACGACAGAGAGGTCATACAAGTATAATGATAAGGGGGCATAACTCCGTTATTCTTAAAACTTGGTCAATGTAACTCAGATCACATGGAGAGTATTTGTTGTGGATACGGACGCTATATTTTCTTTGCTTATGATTATGTTGCTATTTCTCTTCATAAGTATGCAATGGAAGATGCAAACAGATAGCTTTATATATGGAACTAGTACGTACTATATGTTAGAATATGGATGTAAGATTTGTCCAAATTAAGACATGACATGGTTTATATATTTTTATTTTTTTTCCGTATAAATATAGTTAGAGTTTGTCATCACAATATTTTTAAATCGAATATGAATTGATTATATTATCGAAAACAATGATAGTGGATCATAAAAGCGTTTCCGACAAACAGCAAGACCTGGCCAATCAATTTACACCATTGTTTTTCTATAAAGCGACACAAAAATGTGCAAAAGAACAAGATAATTCTTTTAAATATGGGTGCATATACATTTCATAACATATATAAATCATGTTCATTAAATATTATCAGTTTTACTTATAAGGTTGAATTAAATCGCCGTTCATTAACCTGTTCATGTGAAACTGCAATATTAGTTCAAATGCATTGAATATTGTTCATCATAGTGTAATGTACAGGGTAATCGATAATAATTACCCTATATAGATATCTTTACTACTTATGACGTATTTTGGGTATATTAATTCCCGCGGTATCAGTTACACTGTCCATGTAGTGTTGTTCCGCGCCAGTGCACTGCAACATATAGTTTACCGTGATCTTTAGATTACGAGAGCTCATACCGTTGGAATTAGTATGTAAAACAGATCCAAGCCATCTCTTCACCTCGTTCCATCAGTCTACCTGATGTGGCGTAATGTATGTAGCGACTTTGGTGTTGACTTGTGCTGCCTCAGGTAAGCTACGTCTCGGCATGGGCGCCGCCATGTTGTGACGTCATAGCGAGGTGTTTTAGAAGGTTTCGTATCTAGGATTTTACGTCACAATAGAAATAACGGAGATGAGAGATTTCTTCGATTAACGGTTGAGACAGACAGAAGAATCACTGAGAGTTGGATGGTTGCATCTCCATCGTAGGGAAGAAAACCATGAATAACATGTATGTTTACACCCGGCTTGCCGGAGGCACTATACTCGAAGAAGCGCATGTAAAATCTTTCTACTGTTGTAACTATATTTATTGTACTGTACCTTATAACTTGTAGAGTAACGCTTTGGGCGGCGTGATTGCATATTGTCTTTACTGTTAGAAGTTTGCTATTGTTTATAATAAATTTTGCTGTTGGTAACTTTTATGACTTGTGAAATCATTTACTAGTTAAAACTGTTGTGTTGCCGTGGCTGGAAGAGAGTGATCCACATACCCACATTGTCGTAGTAAATACCTCTCCAGCCACCCCGTCGACCGTCGACCGTTGCAGTTATGGCTACGTTTGATCTTCTAACACTTGTGTAAAGGTTTAGAATATGGTGTACTGCACTAAATGTGTCAATTTCTTATGTAAATATTAGGGCTGTTACGATTCACTCGCATATTCGGTGAATCAAACCGTAGCCGTTCACGAATACAATTCGTTATTCGCTGTCACCAGAATCGAATACTTATGAATATTCACGATTTTTAAAGGGGGCGTGTTTTGCTTGAACCTTTATGTTCCATTTCACCGTGAGATATGGAAGAGTTGGACATGTACAAGCCTTTAAGTAGCGCAAAGTTATGTCACTTTGCCAAGGTCTCTTACGGCACTGTCAACCAAAAATAAGGCTATAAGCGGCACTGCCACGACGATCGAGTTGCATTTACAATAAATACCACGGGGATGTTTCTGCAGTAGTGCACTGTGTGTTTGCTTCAGTTAAACATGAAGTGCAATAGCAATACACATAAAATAGAAATAAATATGTTATGAAATCTGAACAAACGTAAAGCATCTGGATACTTCCTGGTTTCCCTGATACTAAATTTATCGGGCTCTGAATATGTATATGCTAAATCACTGCCATATTAGGAATTTTCCCGTGATGCCTCAGCCAATCGTTCGGCGGCAATTTTTCCCGCGGTTGCTGTCTTTGCCCAAATAACTATATAGAAATATGTATATATATATTAGTGGAAATAATAGATTAATAAAAATAATATACTCTGGTCATAATAGATTCTAATTGACATGTTAGAGTTAGTTAAAATAATTCATACACAAAATCTTGTTACATCACAGATGGAACAGCAGTTTTAAAAGTTATTTTATTACAGCACTGATGGAGGATAACCATCAAACAGTAATTGTTTATCCACCTGCCAAATTCAAGGGCGCAGTTTGGAAATACTTTGGATTTTGGAAAATTGAAGGACGGACCTTGGAAAATGAGACTATTTGCCGCATTTGTGAACACACAATCAAGTATGTATAAAGTTTGTAAACTGCTATATAATGAGAATTTATAATTTTGACACGTAACTAAGATGATACTGATCTAACTTGGCGAATGACTGTAGAATATTATGTGAAAAATACATACTTGCAGTAACTAGATGTGGAGGTATCGAATATTAATTTTATGTATTTTTCATTAGTAGAAAGCTGTATACTTGAATGCATAATTGTGTTATAAATATATTCAATATATATTTAAATTGTTTCTCCGAGCAAAATATGACACATTCTTCAGCAATTCAACAACTGCTTGTAGGGAATATGTTTAATTCAATTCAGTATGTTTTTTTCAGCTATACCTGCAAGAATACATCCAATATGGCAATACATCTTAGAAGGAAACATGCCATAGAAACTAGTAACCAGGGAGACAAAACGTCTTTGTCAAGCACCATGAATTTGGTACATGTAAATGGATCTGTAAATAAAAGTTCCATGGGCCAGCTTAGCATACAAAGCGCCTTTCAAACAAAACTAGCACCTGGCAGTTCAAGGGCCCAACTCATCACCCGCAATCTTGCATTGTATATAGCAACAGACTTGAGGCCTTATTCCATTGTTGAAAGTCAAGGATTCAAGAAACTGATGAACTGTCTTGAACCCAAATACACCTTGCCATCACGAACCACACTAAGCAGAAAAGTTATTCCTGATCTCTATGAGAAAGTAAAAGAAGAAGTGAAGGCAGGTCTCAAGGCATCTCACTCAGTCGCACTGACCACTAATGGCTGGACGTCAAGGGCAACCCAGAGCTACATTACCATCACAGCTCATTTTATAGATGACGAGAGGGAGCTTAAAAACAAAGTTCTTCAAACACGACCAATTTTTGACTCACACACAGGTGTTAACATTGCTGATGTCTTCAAACAAGCCATAGATGACTGGGAGTTGAAACGTCCACATGGACAGCAGCCTATTACATCAGACAGCGCAGCAAATGTATGCCTTGCAGTCGACATTGCAGTGATGACCCCCATATCCGATGCTTTGCACATGTCATCAATCTTGCAGCCCAACAAGCTCTTCATATAAATGAAGTTCAACGTCTTCTTGGAAGAGTCAGGAGAATTGTTACTTTCTTTCATAAGAGCAGCACAGCAAATTACCAGTTGGAGCTCAAACAAAAGCTACTCCAACTTCCTAACCATCATCTCATCAACGAAGTGAAAAAAAGATTGAACAGCGCCTATGACATGATTGAACGATACTTGGAGCAGCAGCCTGCTGTGATGGCAGCGCTTATGTCACCAAATATTAAAAGGGAAAAGGACCTGGACACACTGAGCTCAGATGACATCACTCTTGCTGAACATTTCATCAAAGTCCTGGGCCCGCTGAAAACAATCACTACCATTCCCTGTGAATCAAGCATGCCAACTCTATCAATGGTGAGGCCACTTCTTCAGAACCTATCACAAGCTATGGCCCCAAATGTTGAGGATGTTAAACCTGTCTCTCAGATGAAAGCTGCTATTCTGAACAGGCTTGCAAAAAGGTACACAGATGTGGAGATAAAAAGAGTACTGCTACAAGCATCGTTTGTTGATCCCAGGTTCAAAGCTCTGCCCTTCCTCAGCCAACAAGAGAAGCTGGAGGTCCAAGAATCTCTTTGTGACTTGGCTGAAGCAATGAATGACAGCTCCCTTGAGGTAACACCTGAAATCTTAAATAATAGAAAAAACATAACATTGGTCCATTTAAAACGAAAATAATATATTGCTTTTGTGTCTCCTGTTACAGTTACCAAAACAAACCAGTGGGTTGCTGATTAGATGTGTACTGTATATGACCTGTTTCCTGTTTCAGTATTGTATCGTTAAATCTGAACCATGTTCAGGGCCCTGTTCCACAAAGTGATTGTAGCGCTAAGATGATCGTAACTCCCATACTTTAACATAGACTTACGACTGTCGTAGCGCTACGATCGCTTTGAGGAAGGGGACCCTGGTCCAGATGCTCGGAGTGATCCACCACTACCAGATGTACCAGTACAGGTGCCCACAGCTGTGAAGGAGGAAGTAGTCAACCCACCTAAGAAGACGGCATTGTCTTCATTATTTGGTGATGTCTTTGTTGTTTCTCATGTACCTGCCACACTGACCAAGAAGGAGATGATACATAATGAACTCAAAGATTACACTGGAGAAGAATGTGCAGATGTGAACACCAATCCACTCAAGTGGTGGCATGTGCATGACCTTAAATATCCATTCTTGAGCAAAGTAGCAAAGTACTTATTATGTATTCCAGCTACATCAGTTCCCAGTGAAAGGGTTTTCAGTACTGCTGGGGATATTGTAACAGTTCAGAGAGCTACACTGGCTCCAGACCAAGTAGACAAATTAATCTTCCTGAAAAGAAATGTTACCATTTAATGTGCTTTTAATGTAACACTTGTGCAGCAAGGATTCAAAACTCTTTTGGAAATGTCTTAGAAAAGTGTAAAGGTTTAATGCTATTTCACTTTTAATTTCTAATGAGCAGTGGGTCAAACATTTTATGGATTAAAGAACATGTCACTTTATTCTAGTATGTTTTCATGTAATGTGGGCAAGGTACTACAGTATCATCTGAATAATAATATGTAGCTGATGATGTCTCAGCTATATCTGATATTTGCATCCAACTGCAAAGGAAAAAATGACTGTGCTTGAAACTAAAATTATTGCTTTTCACTTCACAACATTAGTGTATTCGTGAATAATTATTCGTATTCGTTACCCAATATTAAGTGATGGATAATGCATCGTGATTCGCCACAGAGTGTATTCGATTTACAGCCCTAGTAAATATTATTCAAACAATCAAAACTTTCAAAGAATAAAACACCGTAAAACCCTATATGCATGTATGATATGATATTGAACAAGGCTAAATGTAGATACTGAAGTCAGTTTCATGAAAAGTGTCTGAACTATCCATAAAATATACACCATAATACTGACAGTGTAATTGGAAGGATTGGGCGATTGTGTTTACTCTTGTTCAACCGACCTTCACCTTAAAGAAATTGCCTAATATGTACAACAATGTTGACGTATGACATCACTACCGATGACCTATTTCTTACAAAATGGCGGCTTTGCTGACAAGGATACACAGGATTTTTCGAGGACCCTTCCATTGATTCAGGGATCGTTTGTACATAAATATGAGATGTGGGTAATCAGAACGATTCTGACTATCTGTGTATTGTTATATGTTTTTATCATTTTAATGTAAGTAAGAGAAGAAGCCAAAAATGCTGATGCTTACAGTTTAATCGTTCATGCGTGATTTTGCATCAGTCATGGCGTCACGCTAACGGAAACTTTGACAATTTCTTATGAATTATCAAATCATTGCATTGTATCTATTTATAATTTCCTATTTCTTGCTACCACGATACTCTTTCCATGCATATTCCAAAGGTATTGAGCCATTGCAAGCAATGAATAGACGGATGAATGTTGGAAAATTTCAGAAAATGCTACACAGTGTAAAACAGGTTTTTGTCTTTGTTTACATTTTGAAGCAGTGCAGTCTTTTCGAGCACAGCGTTCTTTTCACACCCAATATGTTTAGATCTTATTTTATCTAGACAGTTGGCATTGGTGACAAAGACCAGTTGCAGTTTGATTCTAAAATGTATGGGGAATTCATTTATTCATTTTTGAAGCTGAATATGAAATATACACATTGATGTAATAGAAGCGTCTCAATGCCGGCCTTCGCTAAACGTGATTTTGTAAACACAATCCAATATGGCGGAAAGCCCACGGCATTCGTGTAAGTGCATTTTCAGTAAACATCCCAACCGATTCTAGATTCATCGGCAACGTTTCAGAGTTATCATTAGCGATTTCATGTAAAACTGATATCAGTGATCATGAATATGTTATTTTTGAAATTCAATACTCCCAGTAATTATCCGATTTTCACATTTAAAAACATACAGCAAATAACGCTTTGAATCGCGATTTAGTGCTGTGTCCAAAGTGGCAACATTTTCGATGAAACCCATTTTGAAAAGTCATTTTCAGCATTTGAGCTTTGTCTAAAATTCGAAATAGTGGATGGTATCAAGAAACAGGAAATTTCTTAAGAATTGAAAATGTGAAGTGGATTTATGTGCGTGGGATATTTTGATTTTTATTGGACTTGAAATTGAGGATTGAAGGGGAAGGACATAAGTACAATCTGTTCATATCGTTCAGCTTACCTTCAGACAGAATTAATTTATTTCATAAAAAACAGTTACATTCCCATGCATGTCATGCGTTTTCTACCTAGAAACCTGTATTTGCAGTGGAAGCAATACCATAGTATTACTGCACATAACGTCTCTTTTTTTCCATGCTTTCGTTGGCTGTATGAGTTAAGCTAAGTTGTAATACTAGGATAGGCCTGTGCTATCAACTAAACAATTTCCATTCTAATTTGCTCCAAAACAGTTTCAACTGTAGCCTACAACAAAGCACAGCACAAGTACATTTGTAATTCTACTTATTGTGTACAGACCATCTGTCCAAGCCACATGCAGTATGTGTAAGCCATATCCAGTATACATCCGTATGTTTAAGCCATATCCAGTAGACATCTGTATGTGTAAGCCATATCCAGTAGACATCCGTATGTCTAACACATATCCAGTACACATCCGTTATGTCTAAGCCATATCCGGTACACATCCATGTCTAACACATATCCAGTAGACATCCATTATGTCTAAGGCATATCCAGTAGACTTCCGTATGTCTAAGCCATATCCAGTATACATCCATTATGTCTAAGCCATATCCGGTACACATCGCATGTCTAACACATATCCAGTAGACATCCGTATGTCTAAGGCATATCCAGTATACATCCGGTATGTCTAAGCCATATCCAGTATACATCCATTATGTCTAAGGCATATCCAGTATACATCCATTATGTCTAAGCCATATCCAGTATACTTCCGTGTATGTCTAAGCCATATCGGTACACATCCGCATGTCTAACACATATCCAGTACACATCCATTATGTCTAAGCCATATCGGTACACATCGCATGTCTAACACATATCCAGTATACATCCGCATGTCTAACACATATCCAGTATACATCCGTATCGTAACTCACATTCAGTACACATCCGGTATGTCTAACACATATCCTGTATACATCCATATGTCTAACACATATCCGGTACACATCCGCATGTCTAACACATATCCAGTATACATCCGCATGTCTAACACATATCCAGTATACATCCCATGTCTAACACATATCGGTACACATCCGCATGTCTAACACATATCCAGTATACATCCCATGTCTAACACATATCCAGTATACATCCATATGTCTAACACATATCCGGTACACATCCATTATGTCTAACACATATCCTGTATACATCCATATGTCTAACACATATCCGGTACACATCCGCATGTCTAACACATATCCAGTATACATCCGCATGTCTAACACATATCCAGTATACATCCGTATGTCTAAAGCCATATCCTGTATACATACCTCTGACTAAGCCATATCCTGTATACATCCATATCGTAACTCACATTCAGTACACATTTGTATACACTCCAGTACTCCTGTATTGAACAAATAAGCAGTACGCACTGCTGAAAAATTATCTGGAGTCTTGCTGTTTCAATCACAATTTTATCTTGTTCATCTGTACAGTTTTCCATAATGTACGGCAGGTATACATCACCCATAAATATATACATATATGGTATTATAAAAGGTGTACTCAGTCTCTATCTGTTGTATTGCACTAAATTCATGAGTAATATATTATGCTTAAAGAATGTAACCAAGCATCCCAGTACCAATATGAACTTTATGGTATATTATTACACTACAGTTTTTCTTTTTCTTTTCAGTTTCCGTGTTAAGCGATTACGTTGGAACCTGCAATGTGAGTGTTCAAGCTACACTGGCATAAATAACACATAATAATATGATGTATACCAGAGTGCGTATTTAATATATTGGAAAAAATTGCAATATTTGTGTTTCATACAAATATGGTGTGTTTCAAATTTTCGTCATGTTTAATCGTTTGTAGGACAGAGCAATGTACCTGGAGCCCCGATTGGTGGAGCCAACCGCCTCCCAGCCCACCCGGTGACATGACATACGATCCACTCTCTGGTAAGCATTTACAGTTGTACCCTCTTTTCTACAACTTTTGTATACAATCATTGCACTGTAAAGGTCGCAGTTACCCTAACCCTAACCCAACCCATTAAATGTGTACAAACTGGTTCTGAAGGTAGGTTTGTTCAGTCACAATTTACCATCCATAGTCAGGCACTACGCACTACAACATGTAAATTCAGGTATTTACATACATAGATTTAACAATGGGCCATTTTCAATCTTTTAAGCCATTTTCTCAATTTCTAATGTACCACTGTCCTTGTATCAGTAGTAAACTTCCAAATTGTAATGGCCCATGTTGTATTCTAATGTGCAAAATTGGCCCATGGCCCCTGCCTTTCCCAATCCCTGTGAAACAACATGTATCCAGTATGTGGCTTGCCCTCGTCCATGTTATCCTGGGGTCTACAAATCCTGATAGGACATTCGGATGCATGCAGGACGGTGAGGGATTAATGATGGATGTATGTGGGTGGCACTGGTTTTCTGAGTATTCATCCAGTATGGCACTGCAAATCCGTATGGGTATGCGATATTTTGCATGCATGGAGAATGGCGAGGGTATTCATGAGGGGATGCATATGGAGTGGCATTGGCTTTGTCAGCAGGCATCCAGAATGGGGCCTACAAAATCGAATGGGTATGTTTACATTCTGCTTCGCGTGTAGTATGGGGACCATTCATGGTGCATGCATGTGGGACTGCATTGGCACCTGATAGTAACTCCCCTTTTGTGTGCAATGTCTCTCACTGTTCTGCACAGTGTAATAATTATGCATTCAATCTCAATGTCACTCTTTTTATAGACTCATCGGAAGAGGTCGACAAGCCGTCGGTAGCGGCTGCTACGAAAAACTGATCCTAAAGGTAGGTTTGTTCCATCACAATTTACCATCCATAGTCAGGCACTACGCACTACAACATGTAAATTCAGGTATTTACATACATAGATTTAACAATGGGCCATTTTCAATCTTTTAAGCCATTTTCTCAATCTTTAATGTACCAAAGCCCTTGTATCAGTAGTAAACTTTCAAATTGTAATGGCCCATGTTTTATTCTAATGTGCAAAATTGGCCCATGGCCCTGCCTTTCCCAAACCCTGTGAAACAACATGTATCCAGTATGTGGCTTGCCCTCGTCCATGTTATCCTGGGGTCTACAAATCGGATGGGAATCTGACATTCCGTATGCATCCAGAATGGGGCATC